CTTTGATGAAGCCCTTGTGCAAATCTTCTTCTCTTCTTCTCCCAACAAACATGATCATATGTCTCCAACAAGCTCTGCACTTCTTCTCTCTTTAGTTTCCATAAGAGCCTTGAGCTCTTTTTCTCACTCGCGTGTGACGAACACAACTTCTCTGGCAGAAGCTTTCCCAAGAGATATTTTATCTCTTATGGGCTCTAAAGAGTGGGCCTTTTGTTTAAAGGTTGATTGGGCCTTATTACCAATATGGTATCAGAGCAGGTTTAATACCTGCTCTGCTTGCGCTGCCCCAGAATTCATTCATGTTGTTTATTGGTTTATTTTTTGGACTCTTCTTGCTTCTTGCTGTAATGGATCACATGAATCAGTCCACCAATCCTGCCAGTCCTTTCTATCTACATCTTGGGGAGAATCCAGGACTTACCCTCATGTCTCAAGTCCTAAGTGAGACTAATTACTCTTCTTGGAGCAGAAGCATGAGAAAAACTTTTATTTCCAAAAACAAGATCAAGTTCATTGATGGGTCAATAAAAAAACCTCAAAGAAGTGAAGTTTTAATCGATGCATGGGAAAGATGTAACATGATGGTTCGTTCCTGGATTATAAAGACATTTTCTCCACAGATTGCAGAAAGTGTGATATATGTTGCAGAAGCCAAAGAATTATGGGATGAATTTAATGAAAGATTCTCTAAAGGTGACTACTTTAAAATTTCTGATTTACTTCAAGACATTCATTCAATCAAACAGGGAGAAAGAAGTGTTAGTCAGTTTTTCACATATTTAAAGATCCTTTGGGAAGAATTGGAATCCCTTAGACCCATACCTAGTTGTACGTGTGACATCTCTTGCAATTATGAGCTCTCAAAGATTTCTCTGAAATACAGAGAAATAGAACATGTTATATGTTTCTTAAAGGGGTTGAATGATACCTATAACACTGTGAGAACTCAAATCCTCTTGATGGATCCCCTCCCCAACATCAATCGTGTTTTCTCCCTCATCATGTAGGAAGAAAGACAGGATACTAGAACTGTGAACTAGAACTGGTCTGCTGAAACCAAAATTCTAGCTAATGTTGCTGACGAAAACAACACTTGGAGACCTGACCAAACCTGGAAAAACCAAGGGTGTGGTGCTGGATCACGTGGCCAAGGAAGAGGGAGAGGAAGAAATCCTAACTATGGAAAATAGTGTTCCCACTGTCACAAAATGAATCATATTGTGGATGAATGCTATTCCAAGCACGGTTACCCACCTTGGTATAAGAAAACTGACAACAATCAAGACCAAAAAAAATGACTTGAATTCAGCCAATATCTGCTAGAGCAGTTCTGGTCCACAAGGTGTTCAACCCACTCACTAGTTCAGCACCAATGCTGCCTCCAATTCCTTTACCCCAGAGCAGATGCAAAAGCTTGTCAGAATGATATAAAAGGTTGATGAATCTACTCACAAGGTCAATCAGATGCAGAGAAATAACATAGAAGACAAACAAGGTATTTTTTTTGGATTATTGACACTGGGGCTACTGATCATGTGACACATGAGAAAAGGAACTTTGTCACTTTTTATATAATTAAGCCTATTTTTGTCAGACTCCCAAATAACTCTATTATCACTACTGAACATGCAGGAACTGTCCAATTCTCTAAAGCTTTTGTTATTTTTAATGTTCTATATATTCCTGATTTTTCTTTTAATTTGATTTTTGTCCAAAGTCTTATCAAAGACTTAAACTGCAGTCTAACTTTTTCCTCTGAGATTTGTCAGATAAGGGAGAATTCTACATTGAAGATCATTAGGTGTGCTAATCCTTACAAAGTTCTTTATTACCTACAAGCCTTTCCCAATCCCGACCAAGATTTTATTTCAAAGTCTGCTTTCNTCTCAAAGATTTCTCTGAAATACAGAGAAATAGAACATGTTATATGTTTCTTAAAGGGGTTGAATGATACCTATAACACTGTGAGAACTCAAATCCTCTTGATGGATCCCCTCCCCAACATCAATCGTGTTTTCTCCCTCATCATGTAGGAAGAAAGACAGGATACTAGAACTGTGAACTAGAACTGGTCTGCTGAAACCAAAATTCTAGCTAATGTTGCTGACGAAAACAACACTTGGAGACCTGACCAAACCTGGAAAAACCAAGGGTGTGGTGCTGGATCACGTGGCCAAGGAAGAGGGAGAGGAAGAAATCCTAACTATGGAAAATAGTGTTCCCACTGTCACAAAATGAATCATATTGTGGATGAATGCTATTCCAAGCACGGTTACCCACCTTGGTATAAGAAAACTGACAACAATCAAGACCAAAAAAAATGACTTGAATTCAGCCAATATCTGCTAGAGCAGTTCTGGTCCACAAGGTGTTCAACCCACTCACTAGTTCAGCACCAATGCTGCCTCCAATTCCTTTACCCCAGAGCAGATGCAAAAGCTTGTCAGAATGATATAAAAGGTTGATGAATCTACTCACAAGGTCAATCAGATGCAGAGAAATAACATAGAAGACAAACAAGGTATTTTTTTTGGATTATTGACACTGGGGCTACTGATCATGTGACACATGAGAAAAGGAACTTTGTCACTTTTTATATAATTAAGCCTATTTTTGTCAGACTCCCAAATAACTCTATTATCACTACTGAACATGCAGGAACTGTCCAATTCTCTAAAGCTTTTGTTATTTTTAATGTTCTATATATTCCTGATTTTTCTTTTAATTTGATTTTTGTCCAAAGTCTTATCAAAGACTTAAACTGCAGTCTAACTTTTTCCTCTGAGATTTGTCAGATAAGGGAGAATTCTACATTGAAGATCATTAGGTGTGCTAATCCTTACAAAGTTCTTTATTACCTACAAGCCTTTCCCAATCCCGACCAAGATTTTATTTCAAAGTCTGCTTTCTGTGATAAACATGTTGATGTAAATTTGTGGCACTATAGGTTAGGCTATCCTGGACACAAGACTGTAAAACAAATATGTGAGAGTTTTCCTTATATGAAAATGAGTCCTGACATTGTTTATGATACTTGCCACTATGCTAAACAACATAAACTGCCTTTTCCTAGAAGTGCTTCTTTGTTTACTGAATGCTTTGAAATGATTCACTGTGATATATGTGGTCCTCTTTCTATTTCTTCTATTCATGGTCATAAGTATTTTCTTACTATAGTTGATGACTATAGCAGACATACCTGGACTTTTTTAATGAACAATAAAGGCCAAACTAGAGATTTATTGCAAACCTTTATTGTTAAAATTAAAAATCAGTTTGATTAAACGATTAAAACTATTAGGTCAGATAATGGTCCTGAATTTAATTGTGTTAACTTGTATAATTTGTATGGCATGAACCATCAAAATAGCTGTGATGAAACTCCTGAACAAAATTTTGTTGTGGAGTGTAAACACCAACACATCCTTAATGTGACCCGTAGTCTCCTTTTTCAATCTAATATGCCTAATGCCTATTGATCCTATGCTTTCAGTCATGCAGTTTACCTCATAAATAGGTTACCTTCCCCCATTCTTAATAACAGAACTCCCCATGACCTTGTCTACAATACTCCTCCCACTTATTTGAATTTGAAAACCTTTGGGTGCTTATGCTTTGCTTCCACTCTTGAAAACAGTAGAAATAAGCTTGACCCAAGAGCTAGGAAGGGAATTTTCCTTGGTTACAAGCGTGGTGTCAAAGGTTACATTGTTCTTGACATCAACACTAGAGAACTTTTCATAAGTAGAAATGTTGTCTTTTAAGAAGACATTTTTCCCTACAAAGACCAGTAAAGCAGCAGAGAAATCAATGACAAAGAAGCAGACAAAACTACTTTTCTTAATGATCTTCTAGGTAACTACAATTCAATTGATGATGAGAGACATGTTGAAACAGACACAAATGATCAAAGGAAGACACAACAAACTGCCACTGACAACAATAACAATGACAACACGGCTGATAGTGAACAAAATCATAGTTGCAGAGATCTAACAGAGTTAGAAGGGCTCTAGGGTATCTAAATGACTATGTGCATCAGTTCAATCAATCCTTATCTATGAAAAACAATTTTAAAACCCCTTGTCCCATTTCTGATCTATTGTCCCGTGAATCTTTGTTAGGAAAACACTTGAAGTATACTATGGCCATCACTGCAAATAATGAACCTCACTCTTATAATGAAGCCAAAAACATGTATGAATGGGTAGAAGCTATGCAAAGAGAAATCAAGACCTTATAGGACAATAATACTTGGTATTTAGCACAATAGCCTCCACGAAAAAACTCCCAATTGGTTGTAGATGGATGTACAAGACTAAATACAAGGCTGATGGCACTATAGAAAGACATAAGGCTCGCCTGGTAGCAAAAGGCTATACCCAACAAGAAGGGATAGACTATTTGGACACCTTCTCCCCTGTTGCCAAGCTCACTACTGTTAGATTACTCATTGCTCTTGCAGTGTCAAATAACTAGTTTCTACATCAACTTGATGTGGACAATGCTTTCCTACATGGGGACCTAAATGAAGAAGTTTACATGGAGCCACCACCTGGTCTTAATGTCCATGAAAATGGTCAGGTTTGCAGGCTTACTAAGTCTCTATATGGACTAAAACAAGCCAGTAGACAATGGTTTGAAAAATTATCCTCTTTTCTCATTTCTACCAACTATACTCAATCTAAGTCTGATCACTCACTTTTTACCAAAAAGACACATACATATTTCAAAGCCCTACTTGTCTATGTAGATGACATCATATTGGCAGGGAATTCCTTGACAGAAATCAACCACATGAAGACTCTTTTGCATAACATATTCCAAATAAAGAATCTGGGAGAGCTTAAATACTTCCTAGGCTTATAGGTGGCCAGATCTAAGAAAGGGATTCATTTGTGTCAAAGGAAATATGGTCTAGACATCCTTGAGGAAATAGTAATGCTGGGATGCAAACCATGTTCTACCCCCTTTCTAAGTGATACAAGCTCATTGTATAAATGGACAACCACTTGGATGATCCTAGCTCCTATCGAAGACTGATAGGGAAGTTGCTCTATCTCACCAATACTAGACCTGATTTGTGTTTCTCTATTAATTTGTTAAGTCAGTTTATGCAATCCTCCACTAACTATCATTATCGGGTTGTGCAACATATTCTTAGGTACATAAAATCTAAGCCTTCGGAGGGATTATTTTTTGCAGCTGACTCTCCAATACACCTAAAGGCCTTCAGTGACTCAGATTGGGCAACCTGTCCCAATACTATAAGGTCTACTACAGTGTTTTGCATCTTCCTTGGAACATCCCTCATCTCAGGGAAATCCAAGAACCAAAACACTGTTTCCAGATCTTCCACTGAAGCAAAATATCGGGCTCTAGCAACTACTGTATGCGAAATACTATGGGACCACTATCTCCTACAAGATCTTCAAATTCAGGAAGCATGGACTTCTGCTCTCTATTGTGACAACAAGTCAACAAGGCACATAACTCATGACCAGAGCTTTCACGAAAGGACTAAGCACATAGAGCTCGATTGCCATGTTGTTCGTGAGAGAATACAGGCTAATCTTCCACATCTCCTTCAAGTTCGCTCGGATAAANTAAAGAATCTGGGAGAGCTTAAATACTTCCTAGGCTTATAGGTGGCCAGATCTAAGAAAGGGATTCATTTGTGTCAAAGGAAATATGGTCTAGACATCCTTGAGGAAATAGTAATGCTGGGATGCAAACCATGTTCTACCCCCTTTCTAAGTGATACAAGCTCATTGTATAAATGGACAACCACTTGGATGATCCTAGCTCCTATCGAAGACTGATAGGGAAGTTGCTCTATCTCACCAATACTAGACCTGATTTGTGTTTCTCTATTAATTTGTTAAGTCAGTTTATGCAATCCTCCACTAACTATCATTATCGGGTTGTGCAACATATTCTTAGGTACATAAAATCTAAGCCTTCGGAGGGATTATTTTTTGCAGCTGACTCTCCAATACACCTAAAGGCCTTCAGTGACTCAGATTGGGCAACCTGTCCCAATACTATAAGGTCTACTACAGTGTTTTGCATCTTCCTTGGAACATCCCTCATCTCAGGGAAATCCAAGAACCAAAACACTGTTTCCAGATCTTCCACTGAAGCAAAATATCGGGCTCTAGCAACTACTGTATGCGAAATACTATGGGACCACTATCTCCTACAAGATCTTCAAATTCAGGAAGCATGGACTTCTGCTCTCTATTGTGACAACAAGTCAACAAGGCACATAACTCATGACCAGATCTTTCACGAAAGGACTAAGCACATAGAGCTCGATTGCCATGTTGTTCGTGAGAGAATACAGGCTAATCTTCCACATCTCCTTCAAGTTCGCTCGGATAAACAATTGGTTGACATCTTCACCAAGTTCTCCCATCGTGTACGGTTCAGATCCATCGTCCCTAAGCTTGGATTAGTGAGTATACACCATCCAGCTTGAGAGGAGGCTATTGGAACCAAAATACTATATTAGATTACTGTCTAAACACAATAATCGGTTTATATTGTTTGTTAGGTTTTTCTAGTTTACGGTTTATATTGTTTTATACATTTGAAAATAGTTATTTTATAAGATAAAAATTTCAGTGTGTTTTCTATATTTTTTTTAATAAGCATTTCAAAATTGGGCGTACAAAATGTAGACATGTTAAAATTGATTCTAATACGTTAATGAATCTAGTTCATCTTAGGCATGAGCCATTATGTTGAAAAAAATTCATGTTTTTTCAATGTGGGTCAAATCGAACTCAATTCCCTTAACTTATTGGTTAAATGAGTATGAACCAAACTAAATAGTTTGTCGTGTATTCCACCAACAAGAATCCCAAGTTTTTTTTATGGTCTTTTTCATAAGTTTTATATTATGATTATTTATTAGTTTTAATTTTAGTACCTGATTTTAAAAGTGCATACATTGGGTCCCAAAGTTATAATAATTGTATGAATTAAGTGCCTTCCGTTCAATTGTCAGAAACAAAATTAACTCCCAACTAATGTGGTGAAAGAATATGCAGTTTTTCTTCTCTCTCCTTTGCTTTCCCTGCAATGCCTCAACTTTTTCTCTTTCTATATTAATTGTTTTCATAATTGTTGTGTTATTTTGGAATGTGACAATATTTATATGTTATTATTATCGATATCCGTGTAAACTTAAGTATTATATTTAAGCTATTATGATTATTTATAAGTTATTATTATCAGTGTAAACTAAGTATTATATTTGTTTTCTTAGTTTTTTAAAATATTTATAAATTATTTAAATTTTAAAAGTTGTAATTAAAAGAATAAAATTATAAAAATAAATGTGTATATAAAATTACAAATATAGATAAAATAAAATTTAATTATTGAAATAAAAATATTATAAATAATATTATATAAATAATTTTTTATTATAATTTTTAAATTAAAAATATAATTATAATAATAAAATAAGTTTAAACCCTCAAATCGCCCTCATATTTGTTGAGAAATCTTAAGTGGGTACTTGCTTTTTAAACTGTCAAAATTTGGTCCATATACTTCTAAAATTGAGCCAATTTTGCCCTTTCCGTTGTTAAGTTTTGACAAACAGCGTTAAGAGATGCTGTTCTGTCTTTTTTTAAATGACGTGACATTGTGTATTAAATTAAATGGGTTATGTGTTGTAGACCCTCTCCACTGTCAACCTCGTTGGATCCACCATCTTCTTCTAACCCAACCAAAAAACGCGCCACCAAAAATAAAACCCACCAGGAACCTTCTTCTCCATATTCGTCAATCTGTAAACTCAAACCAAAGTCAGAAAAACCTTAAATCCCAAATTGCGCCTTAATTAGTTCGTTCTTTTTTTCTGAATAGTCATAGTCATTGCGGTAGAGAAACACAACCCAACCACTTGAAATTACAAAAAACAAAAGTCAACATATTACCATCACTAGTAACGCGCCAAATACGCTTTGGTTAAACAAAAACCGAAGTATACAAACTTATATAACTCGGTTACTGGATGACCCAAAGCAGAATGCAGATATTGCCTCGGTTACTGGATGACCCGAGACCTATACCTCTGCACATAACACTGTAAATCAGACTGACAGCCTTTTGAAAAGCACTATTGCCTCGGTTGGCTACAAAACCAATGCCTATACACGTTTCGACTTCGGGTGTAGATTTTAACCGGTGCCATATGCTATTACTTCGGGTATAGCTTTCATTTTCTGACCTTAACACGTTTCATCGCTCAGCAGCTTCCTCTTCCCTCTCGTGCTGTCCCATTCCTATGTGCAACATCTTCTTCGTCGTGCACTCCCATTCTTCCTCTGTCACTCCTTGCATCGCCGCGCCGGTCATTGTGCTGCCGATGGTCTTGCCTGCCTCCTTCCTTCGTCGTCGCGCCAGTGCTCACGCCTCCTCTGTATCTTCATCTTCATCCACCGCTCCAGATCCGCCGCTCCAGATCCGCTGCTCCAGATCTGCCGCTCCAGATCCACTGCTCCAGATCTGCCGCTCCAGATCCGCTGCTCCAGATCTGCCGCTCCAGATCCGCTGCTCCAGATCTGCCGCTCCAGATCCACCGCTCCAGATCCACCGCCGCTGCCTCCCCGCTGCATCCACAACGTCACCGCTGCTGCCTCCCCGCTGCCGTCTCTGTTGCCGCCATGCCGCGTTGTCCTGGGTTTTTAGATCTTGTTCTCTGTCTTCTTTTTGGATCTAGAGACATTGGAAACACCGTTTTCAAATAAAATCCTCCACTGTCAATCTTGTTCTTGGTTTTGTTCTTGATCCAGAGACATTTTTGTTGTTCAATTTTTCAGTGATGGGGACTCTTTCATGGACTCTTCGAAACGGTGGGAGAGTATAGCAGGGGATTAATAAAAAAAAACCAAAACCTTATGACATCGGTTACAGTGACTCGAGACGTAATCCTATCCCTTTACGCCTCGGTTTATAACCGAGTCATAAAACCTACCCCTTTTTACCTCGTTCGTATATGCCTCGGTCGTAGAACTGGTGCATATAAACAATAATAACCGGTGTCATTTCCTCTTATTGCACTAGTGCATGTTGTCGAAAACAGTTAAAAACCTTTTACAATGTTATACCATTCCCACAAATTCATAAGATTTTTCAATCATTCCGAAATTGAACCTCCCCATTTAAAAAAATTCAATTTTTTTAACTTCATAAGAATAATATCCGCAGTGACAGCAGGGAAACACAACAAAAAACACCCAACAGAACCTAAAAAACATAATTGTGCAAGAAGCAAAGCAAAACCTGATCCATCTCATCAAGTAAAGGCCTCAACAAAGGTGGGGATCTCATCCATGAACTGGTCAGGCTTCCCAGAATGAAGGATCTGAGTGAAGCCTCCCATCCCAGATTGGGGTCCATGCTTGAATTTGTTGTACCAAAAGTACATCACTCTGCACTGCCACGTGTTGTAGACAGAGTCAGAGGCAGTGACTGCAGTGTGAAAAAGCCTCTTTTTTTGGGAGGAGGATCTGTGGAGTGGCATCTTGATGAGAGGATCCACCAAAATGGAAGGGCTGAAAAACCCTTCACACCTTCTTCACTATCCAACCTGCAAATAAGAAATTAAGAACTAGACAAAAGGAAAACCCTTGAAACGTGAGTTGACCGCGGTTAGCCGCAAATCGAACCTGCAAATAAACCCTAAAATCCAAAATCGCAAACTTCAAATCAGCACCACCACTTCGCATCTCAAGAGCCAGCATGAAAAATCATCACCAATCTTTGAACCTGGTAAGCAGTCCCACTACTCAAATTTCAAAATCCCAAGATTTTACTCATCGAAAAACAAATAGCTTTTTTTTTTTTTATTTTGTTTGAGAAGGTTTAAAATTTGAATTTCGAATTCGGCATTGACTTGAGAGTGAGTTTGAGAACAAGGGTTTTTTAGTAAAGGATTTGCAATGTTGGACCCACCCAGAGTCCGATCCATGAACTTTGCAGTCACCAACCCCGACGCGCATCCAGTGCTCGTCCCAGCAGACAACAAAGTCCAGTGGCTCGTCGGGTTAGTGCGCAGTTGAGAAAGAAGTAGTGTGGCTCGCCGGGTTAGTGTACAGTTGAGGAAGAAGCAGTGTGAAAAAATTTACTTTTCCACGTGGAATGGTTATTCAATAACCCATGACCCATTCAATTTAATACACAATGCCACACCATTTAAAAAAAATACAGCTCAACACTTTTTAACGCCGTCTATCAAAACTCAACGGAGAGGGTAAAATTGGTTCAATTTTACAAATATATGGACCAAATTTTGACAGTTTAAAAAACGAGTACCCACTTGAGATTCTCCAACAAATATGAGGATGATCCGAGGATTTAAACCTAATAAAATATTAAATAATTTTTTTTATAAAGAGTAATTATTTAAATAAAAAAATTATTAAAAATGATAAAATTGGAAAATATTTTTTATTATAAATAATTATTTAAATTAAGGTGATATTTAAATACTAATTAAAAAGATCATATTAACATAAAGAAAGTAAAACACCGAAGAGTATGATCTTTATATATAATTATATATATATATATATATAATTTTATCATTTTCGTGAATATATTTATTTTCTAATTTTACTTCTAGTAAGTA